CACCAAATACATGTGTTCCTTCAAAAATGCCAACTACCCCAGCGTTGGGAATTGCTACTGGACGGCTGATAGCAGGACTAACCGTCCGTGTGACTCGGTCGGGTGGGTGAGGTCATGATCAAGATTTTCGTATGCATCCTGTTTGACTTTGATTATCTTCGAGAGTTCTAAGTATTTAGAGGGGTTTAGAACTAGTGGTCATAGGAGAAAAGGATGGTGTTTAACGATTTAATGCGGTAACTTCAGGAAGCCATGGTGATAAAGATGATGAGGAAGGAGTAGTAGTATTTGCAGGTGATCCCATGTGGTGATGGAGGTTCATGTGAAGATTACCTCTACCCCCCACCTCCTCACCCCGCCCATAGGAAGAGAGCAGTGGAGTCGTGAAAATTTTTGAAATCGATCGTGCACGAGGGTTGAGTATGGTTGGCCTTCAATGCTAAAACTGCTTCATCACTTATCAGTTGCACATTAATGGAAACAACACATGTAGAATTTTGCAGGTGAAAGAACTTACTTCACATTTGCTGAACAAAGAGGCGGAATTAGCTCGTACTCGCGAAGAGTTGGAGGCAAGATGTAGTCGATTAAGTGATGAACTACGAGAAGCCAAAGAGAAGTTAGTGGTTATTCAACCTCATTTTATTGTTATCCTTCGCAGTTCTTTAGAGCAAGGCCAAAAGAACGGGGATGCTTCTTGTATAGTTAATAATTGAGCTAGAGCCGGAGAGAGCGCTGAAAATATATTAGTTCCAATTTTGCGGTGTGTAGCAAAAATCGGGCAAACCTAATACCGCTTGTCTGAAGTTTTACGACAAATCGATATCCATGGAAATAAACATGGCTAATAGGGAGAGTGGATGAAGATCCTTATTGATATGTGGTACTGTCGCAGCAGTAAGCGACACCTATCATCTACTATCAAGCAAGTTGGAGGTACGAAAAAAGACCAGCTATATCCACGCATAGCCCCAGACGTGTTTCATGATTTTCTTCTCAGGAATGCTTTTCACATCAATCCACCTCAATCGTGAAATATTACCAATTTATGCTCGCTTCGCGTATGGATAATTCCCCTTGCATAGTACGAACACATAGCATTATACATGATACATGTACTATTAATTCATATTACGATAACATATGAAATAACCACCAACCGTTTGATCAAAAAAAAAAGCAAATGGTCGCAATGGTTGTAACCATCAAAGCGCCAACAGCGGTTCTGAACCGTTCGAAAAGGTTCCAATTTTGAATTCACTGGGAGAGAGCAGGGTGCCGTTTCTCCCTTTTTGACCATTATGCTTGCTTTTTCCTCTTGACTATTTGGCACCTCTACCTTCACATTTCGATGGAAAAGTTTCGCTATTTTCGCCTCCAATAGAACTAAACCGGGGCTGTTCGTATTGAAATATTGGTTATGTTGTGGTATGGCCTAAAAATGAACGTAAAAAACTTGTGAAGAAATCGGACGTGTACGCAAAAAACAAATGTAATAGGTGTGGCATACATATTTTGCCACAGTGTGCAATGAAGTGCAAAATGACGGCATACATAGTTGCCGCGCTGTCGTCAACGTGTTAAAGGAATCCTCCACGGAAAAAGCTCCGCCCTCTTACCACAGAAAACGATACCTTAAAGGAATCTCCCACGAAAGAGTGATCATTTTGTCTTGTGTGTAGGATTAGTATTATCGAAACTAACACTTATGTTCTGTTCTTTTTGCTATGCTCATGGCTAGGCATATCGGGGTGGGCGCGTATCGGTTTTCTGTGTAAGGAGGCGAGCTTTTTCCTGTGGATGGATTCTTTAACCCTTTCAGAACCCCTGAATCTCCGCAAAGATCGGACCTGAATTTTTCCCCGTGGAGAAATTTTTCTTCTAGCTATTGTTTATTACTTGTTATGGCGAAATTTGGAAGCTATTCGATCACAAACAAAGAAACTAAGAAGCTTTGAAAATTGGCCCACCTTCTTAGTTTTTAAGCTTATGTCGAAACAATTCGAAATTTCATAGTTATGCCGAAAAAGTTTATAATCTTGCATAACATTATAACCCATAATTTTGATTTAGGAATGGATCTACTTCAAGTATTTTAAGAAAAAGTGACACTTACTTGGCCGGTTGCGGGGACCAGCGCCGATTCATTGTTGCACTTGTACACAAATACTTGTAATACTAACAGCAACACACAATGAAATGGCAGGTTTAGCTCATAATTAGGAAGGGGAAGGTTGACTGAAGCAACCTCTAGCAGGATTAGAAAAACCATGCTGTTTCAGCGGCAATGCAAACATTTGAATTTGATGGTGGCAATTGCCACCGCCAGGGCCGAAAGGGTTAAAAACTTTTCTAGCGACTGAGGTGTCTTCTATTGCATGGTAAACCTTTGCTAATCGAGCGGTGTCAAAAAGAAACGCAGTATACCAGCATCAATCGAAATCCCAGAAGACTTGAGTTTGAGAGCGCACTACTTTGGTCGATTGCTATCGAGAACGTTCCCCTTGCTCTTGGTTCACAGGATGGCCTGCACTGAAGATAATGTATGTACTTTAATTATTATCATTTGCAGAAGCTCTTCACTGGCCCTAAATTTGGAGGCGGCGTCGGCGAAGAGCGCCGATTTGGCCGAACAGCTTCAACTTGCGATTGTTTCCCGAGATCTACTCAGCAACGAGCTTGCTCAACTAAGGCCACTGGCGCATGCGGTCGATATCCAGGTGAGGGATATCAAATCGCCACAGCTTCTCGTTAGAGACATTTCTTTGCTCTTTATTGTTAATGCGAGTTGTCTTCTTCGTGTGGTAAAGAGCTAATAGGTCATGCCAAATAGTTCATAATTTCAGAACGCTGATGGTGTTTTGGCATATTTGGATGCAGTGGAAAACGCGAAGCGTCACCAAGCTGAGGCCGTTCGAGCTCAAGCAGCGGCGGAAGAAATCCAGACCCGATACGACGAATTGAATGAGCTGCAAACAAGTGTTATCAAAGACAATACGAGATTATATGAAAGGTCATTAAGTGTAATAGCTTAAGTAGCCTCTCAGTCACTCAGTAATGACGAAGAGAACTCATCGAAGTGAAATCTTTAGGAACGCTGAGCTCGAGGCGCGAGCAGAGAAATTTGATGGAGAAATAAATAATCTGAATGAGGAATGGAAAAAGAAGTTAGAAAAGGAGAAATTGGAGTGGGATGAAGCGGTAAGTAATTTACTATTGCTATGGAAATCTGCTTCGTTGTTGCTTGTAAATGGCATCACAGCGTGCCCAAGTTTATCTGGTCTTGGTCCAATGAGCTCGTGGTCAGCACCTGTTTGA